GCGATCGTCCTGCTGGCTCTGGCTGTGGTGGCGGCCACGGCGCTGGCTCTGCACTGGTTTGGATCCGGGCAGGACCAGAACGTGTCGGGACCGGTGTCGGCAGCCCCCAGGGCCCAGCTTGCTAAAGCTGGAGCAGCCAGGACGAGCCTGCATGCCAAGTCCAAGGTCAGTGGCTTCGAGGGACAGAGCTTGGGGAGGGGGAAGCCAGATCCTCCAGGAAGAGGCCAGGGGAGCCCTGCTCCAGCTGGAGCCCACGACCAGGGCTCCCCACAGGGCGGAGGTCTGGCCCTGCTTCCCCTCAAGACTCCCAGCGAGGTGGCCAGCAGAGGGGCTTTGGGACGGCAGCGCGACACCACCCCAGGAGCCTCCTGCAGGGACGGAAGGGGGACTCCCAAGCCAGACGACGATCTCCTGGGTAGAAGCAAAGCAGAGGGGACCTCCGCACCCCTCCTAATCCACTTCACCCCTCGGAGTTCTGGCTGTGAGGTGGAGCTACAGGTGGACGCCGGCGAAATGGGCGCGGGGGGCAAAGGCCGGAGTGGTCGGCGGCGGCGCGGGGACATGGGCTCGGGGAACAGATGCGGACGCCCCTCCAGGCCAGACCCTCTGCGCCTGGGCTCCGCCACCAGTGTGTGGGACGCGGTGGACGCAGCTGCAGCTGCCCGGGGAACTCAGGGGGCCCGGGGTCCTATGAAGGGCTGGTCCTGGGTAAACCCTGACCCCGGGAAGGCACAGGCTGATGCCTCCGGGTTGGGCGGGACCGCGATGCGAGGAGACCCCCGCGTCGGAGAGGGCACAGGGTCCCCGAAAGGCGAAGGCAGCAAGCAGGCGGCCCAGGGGTCCTGCCCCGGCCAGCTCCGCGTAGCCCCTGCCCCTTCAGACCATTTGCCCCAGGCGCCTTCTAAGGGCGAAAATCGCAGGGCAGCGCCAGCCCCCTCTTCAGCCCTAGTGCCAGCCTCAGCCCCAGCCCCAGCATCAGCCTCAACTCCAGCTTCAGCCCCAGCCCCTTCCCCAGCCCTAGCTCCAACCCCAGCCTCAGCTCTAACTTCAACTCCAGCATCAGCCCCAACCCCAGCCCCAGAAAGGGGGTCAAGGCCTGGGTCTCGGGAGCCCAGTGTGGGTATCTCCAAGGGCTACCAGGAAGGGCAGATTTTAACCAGCTGGGGAAACCTTATTGCTATGGTTCTTAGAAACCATCCCTTGCCCAGGCAGGAGAGGCCCCAGACAAGTGCTCCAAGGGCAGCTCCTGTAAACCCTTTGGACCCTAGCACTTCCACACGCTCTAAGGACAGATGCTCCGGTTCCCACTTGGAAGAGGCTGTCTCCAACCACCAGGACAGGCATAGCTGTTCTTTGGGGATAGCCACACAAGCAGGCACAGGGGATCTGGCTGGCGCTGGATGTCAACCACAGCCAATGAGCTCCAAGACCAATGGGGCACCCTCCCCTGCCCTGCCTCCACGCCCAGGAGGAGATGGAAGCAAAGAGAAACATGTGGGCATGCTGCCCCCAGCTGCAATGCCGGGGGCTCTCTCACAGCCGGCTGTGCAGGTGCAGCCTGGCCCAACCCCCACTGCAAGGCGGGACTGCCAGCCTCTCCTTAGGCCCAGGAAACACAGCATGTGTGAGACAGCACAGAGCTTGGAGCAGGTGGTCAGCCAGGCAGCGCCTGGGCAGCACCAGGGGCAGGTGTCAGGGAATGGAGTCGGTTCAGCAGGAAGGAGGGAAGTCCTCACAGAGAAGCAGAAAGAGGCCCAGAAACTCATGGTTTTTCTGCAGAGGCCTGGGAGCTGGGGGGTGGTTGAGGGACCCCAGAATCCCCGCTCTCAAACCTCAGAGTCTACCACAGCCACGGCTCTGTGGCCTCAGCGGCTAGACCTGGGCAGCTGCCTGGAGGTGCTGGCCTTCGCCCAGCAGCATAGGGAGCCCAGCCTGGCCCAGGAGACCTACGCCTTGATGAGCAGCAACCTGCTGCACGTGCTGGGTGACCCGCACCTCTACCGGCAGCTGAGTGGGGCTGAGCGGGAGCGTATCCTGAGCCTGCGGACCGGCAGGGGCCAGGCAGTGCTGGGGGTCCTTGTGCTGCCTAACCTCTACCAGGTGGGCCGCCCAGGGCTGGTGAGCGGTCCTCACGGAGAGGAGGTGCCTTTGACCTGGCCGGCACCCGTGCCTGCTCGCACACACCTGCACGTGTTCAACCCCCGAGAGAACATGTGGCGGCCCCTGGCCCAGGTGCCTGAGGAAGCCCCACTCCGGGGCTGTGGCCTCTGTACCATGTACAACTACCTGTTCCTGGCGGGTGGCATCCGTGGCTCTGGTGCAAAGGCTGTCTGCTCCAATGAGGTCTTCTGCTACAACCCTCTGACCAACATCTGGAGCCAGGTTCGGCCCATGCAGCAGGCCCGAGCCCAGCTCAAGCTGGTGGCCCTGGACGGGCTCCTCTATGCTATTGGAGGTGAGTGTCTGTACAGCATGGAGCGCTACGATCCACGCACAGACGCCTGGACCTCGCGGGCGCCCCTTCCTGCGGGCACCTTCCCTGTGGCCCACGAGGCTGTGGCCTGCCGTGGTGACATCTATGTCACAGGAGGTCACCTCTTCTACCGTCTGCTCAGATACAGCCCCCTGAAGGACGCGTGGGACGAGTGCCCCTACAGTGCCAGCCACCGGCGCTCCAGTGACATGGTGGCCCTGGGGGGTTTCCTGTACCGCTTCGACCTGCTTCGGGGAGTGGGTGCAGCTGTGATGCGCTACAACACGGTGACGGGCTCCTGGAGCCGAGCTGCCTCGCTGCCACTGCCGGACCCTGCCCCACTGCGCTGTGCTGTGCTGGGCAACACCATCTACTGCCTCAACCACCGGGTCACGGCCACCTTCACAGTCTCTGAGGGGACTGCTCAGTTCCAGGCCAAAGGACTGCAGCCCTATCCTCTGGGGAGTAAAGGGGTCCTGTGTCCCTTCGTCCTGACTCTGCCCGCCGAGGCCTGGTTGCAGACCTCACTCTGAATGCTGGCAGAGCCCAGGGAGACCCTCCATCCCAGCGGGTCTGCAGTGAGGTGGAGCATGGGAGGAAGCTGGGACGGAACTTCATGACACCTCTCCCTCTCTGCCAAAAAGTTCTCAACTGTTTCTAGAGCGAGATCCCTTCTGTGTCCCTGCCCCAGCCCAGGCTCTACATGGCCTCCTTACCCACCCACACCCTGGTTTCCTGCCTGGTCCTTACCTGGTTATCCTGCCTCAGCTTGTTCACAGGCACCCGTCTGTCTGTGGGACTCCCTGGTGCTCCTGCAGCCAGGGAAAGAGGTGTCTGGAAACATATCCGCACTCCTATGTTCTGTCAAGAGGGAAGAGGAAGCAAAGAGGCTCCCAGGAAACACCTTCACCTCTGAGACTTATGCTGTCTTTTGGGAACCAGGCATGGCTGTTCTCCTGTGGGTCTGACTAGCGCTTGGAACCATTGCCTGTGAATCTGGGTTGGATTTGTACTCTGCTGTCTGCAGCCCCTGTCCGTGAGCCCTGTCCAGTGCCACTTGGCTCCTTTATGCCTTGTGGGGTCTCTTCCAGGCCCTCCAGATTCTTACCCTACTTCTCACATACCCCTCCCCAAATGAGCCCCAAGTTCCACCCAAGTTCTATCCTTTGACAGCTGTGGAACTGGATAAGACATTTAACCCCCATTTTCCTTGTGGATATTGGACTTGTGTCATTCAGGAGACTTGTGAGAACTTGACCATCAGTGGGGCACCTGGCACAGTGCCTGGGGCATAGAACACGAGAAATTATGTGTTTTCTCCCCTTATCCACTTTGAAACCCACTTAAGGCAGATAAATAAATCTGACAGTACTATGGTCTGTCCCAACCCCTGGCCTGGTTTGTCCCTAGGCCATTTTTTGCTTTCTATTCTACGCTTACTACCACTGGTGCCAAATACATGTTTGACCTAAGAAGCACATGGACCTTATGCTTGTCACGCTTTGCTAACAAGGCTCAGTATGCATCTCAGTAGATCATGGTGTAGGACAGAAAGGGGTCACAGGCTGTGCTTCAAAATAAGTTTACTGAGAAACAAGACTGTCTATACATCTGGGTAACTGACTTGTTCCTGTGCTTCTGCACACAGGCAGTGTGGGTGGTGGCTGCAGGTGGGCGATGGGGCCTACTGCTTGTGCTTGGTCTCGCTGAGCAGATCCTGCCAGTTCTTTTCCATCTCCTCCTTGCAGTTGAGGAAGGCGTCCTCCAGCCGGCGTATGAACTCTGTCAGTACAGGGTCGGTGCGCATGACGACCATGTCGTAGGCCATCCAAGTTGCCTGCACTGCAACAATCAGACAGACCTGGTGAGGCCACATGTGGCTCTACAGCTCTGGGCACCTCAGCTTTCAGGGGCCAGACCCCACCAGGACACCAGACTACTCCAAGGAGAGAAAGTGGTCAGTTACGTGTTCCAGAGCTCATAAAACTCCTGTAAACATTCCTCCCTACAAACAGCAATGGTGATGCTTCTTGGCCTCCCACAAGCCTTAACTTCTGATAGATCAGCCAAAGCTACTAAATCTGGAGGACTTCTGATACGAAGTGTGAGAGAAATGAAAGCAACCACAGGTTCTCTACAGGTGGTGCACAGTTAGTGGCCACAGGGTAACAACCTCCCAGGCGCCATAACACTCACCTAAACTCACACGCTCAGTTGGGCTGTTAGTTCTCAGTCCTGTGAAACTTAACATTTCCTCATGGTCAGTGACCTCAGGACCCTGTCCACCTGCAGCTGGCACCTCTGTGCTTTCAGGCTCAAGGGGTGGCTCCTCTTCCACTGAGGGTCCTTGAGCATCCGCCACTGCACTGATGGGCTTCCCTGCTCTTTTCTGAGGGCAACTTGAAGTAGCTCTATCTGGGTCTCTACATGAACACATGCGTCATGAACAGACTCAGTAGATGAAAACTCTAAGGCCCCCGCCACTGCTGTGGCTCTACCCGCTAGAACTACACAGAACAAAGTTCATGCCCCTCTGTATGACAGCTAAGCACAATTAACATTCCCCTTAGAACTCTTCTTTGTTGTTGGACTAAAATATATGGGCTACTTGGGGAAGCTACGTCTTTGAAAATTAACCGAAATGGATGTAGGAGAATGACTAATAATATACAGCACATGTGTACAGCTACACAACCAAGGCCAACTGAGTAGCACACTTGCAGTTTTTACACAGAGTTTTACACAGCTGCTCGGTGGGGAAAAATTGCTAGAAAAGGGTGTGCAGCATCTGAGGACAGTTCATGTGACTCTATAGCTGGAGTAGGTATTTCTGAACTTTTGGAAGCATGAATGGTACTTGGGACACTTTTTATATTGTAGACTGCTGCTCCCTCCCCAGACCTATAATGGTTATTGTCTAGCATATTGGGGATGGTGCCTAGGAACCCATATTCTAACAAGCATTCTGGGTCATTCTGGAGTAGGGAGTTTGCATATCACCCTTTTCTTTTTCTTTTTGGTACCGGGGATCAAACTCAGGAACTTGCACTTGTGAGGCAGGCCGCGGCACCACTGATCTAAGTCCCTGGCTCTTCTTTTGTTTTTTTGAGAGAGGTCTCACTAGGTAGTTCAAGCTCGCCTTGAACTCATTATGTAGTCCAGTTTGGCTCTGAACTTGGGGCAATCTTCCTGCCTCAGCCTCCCGAGTGCTGGGATTATAGGTATGTGTACTAGTATAGGTACTATGCCTGGCAAGCCCACCCTTTTAGACCCCTGGACAGTGGGTGACACATGGACCTGGGAACAAGAGATTTGCTTCCCAGCTCTCCACTTGCCAGCCACAAAACCTTGAACAAGACTTAAACTTGCTAACCTTAGTCTCTGCATCTGCAAGGTAGAGATTATTTACTGATTTCATAGCTTGCTGTGAAGAGATGGCTGACACGTGACATGTCAGCACACAGGCCATGGATGGAAAGTTTGTGTCTACCCCTCCCTCCACTCAAGTGCTGCAATCTAACCTTCCTTCTAAAGGTCTGAGGAGGTGAGCCTCTGGGAGTGAGTAGTCATGAAGGTGGTGCCCTTGAAAATGGGATCGGTGCTCTTAGAAAAGGACACGAGAGCTTGCTCTTGGCCGCTTGAGGAGGCTGTCTGTAAAGTAGGAAGAGACTTCTCACCAGATACCAGAGCTGGGTCCTCTTCATCTTGTACTTCCCAACCTCCAGGACTGTGAACAAAATGTTTTTTAAGCCACCTTGTCTGTGGTAATTTGTTTTAGCAGCCCCAAATGTTTAAGACAAATTAATATCAAGAAGAGGTGTGTTGCTGTAATAAATGAGTGGCTTGGGAGTTGGGTCCTGGATACGGGCCGCAAGAGTTTTGAAGTCCACGCTAGAAGCCAGTGTTCCTATGAATGGAGCTCTAAAGGTAATTCTGGTAAGAACTCAGAAAAAAGGAATTTAGAAAGAAAGCTCCATCTCTTAGGAAATATATACATGATCATGAATAGAACACTTATGGAAATGCAGATTTCCACATTTGACATTTCGATGAGGTCTCAGAAGGAAGTGAGTAGTAAATTAGCAGAGGCTGGAGGAAAGGTGATCCTTGCCATAAAGGGGCAAATAAATCAGCCGAATTGTATTCATGTTTTAGTGGTTTTTGGAAGGCAGAACTAGTAAGCGATGAAATTGGATATTTAGCCCATTTTTGCTCAAAAAGAAAGCAATTTTTACAATAAAGTAATTAATGGAGGTGCTCAGGGCAAAGAGTTAGGGTAAGAAGTTAAAGTCAGGGAAATAAGCAGCTTACACAAATAAATCTCATACAGCCCTCCATAGAAATTTTCTAGGCCAAAGAAAGGAACGAAGCATACTCAATTAAAAGATTCAGTACTCATAAAAGAGAAGCAGATCCACTGTTTAAAATACTTGTGTCCTAAGGGAAAAGTTCCCAAAAAAGGTTTACAAAAGGGATGTATGGCAGTTGCAAATGATTATGACAACATCCCTATTTATTTATTTAGAGATGGGCTCTTGCTACATTGGCAAGAAGTATGGCCTCAAACTCCTGGGCTCAAGTGAGCCTCCTGCCTCAGCCCTCCATGTAGCTGCAATTATGACTATGTACTACCCTCCCAGCTTGACTTCCCTACTATAATTGTCTTTATAATGGTCCTGCAGGCTGTGGTTAGGATTGCTGGTAAAAGAAAGCTGGTAGCATGCCACATATACATAGTTTAGAAAGTCAAAAAGTTTAGAATACATAGAGTAGGAAGGACTCAACACCATTATAAAATCCTCCAGAAAACTGGATAAAGAATATGTGTTTTTTTCTATTAAAATGGAGTACTACTCAGCCATAAAAAATGAGAAACTAGAGTCATTCATAGGAAAATTGGTGCATATTGAGGCCATGCTCTTAAGTGAAATAAATAAGACACACATGTATAAATACTGAATACTTTCTGTGGTGTGAAAAACTAAAAGTGTAAATAAGATCCAAATTGTATAACTGACAATATGAAATAGGAAGAAAAGGGCTAAAGGTGTAGGGGAAGTGGGAAGGGGAGGGGAAAGGAAATAAGGGACAAGGAAAAAGGAAACAGAGTCTTTGTAAAAAGGGAAGAGTGGAGGGGGTGAAGGGAGGACTGTATGGGGAAAAAGTGAGAACCAAGATGTCATGTAAGAGTACAAGATCCCAATGATAAACGTAACTGTACTGTGTACTTACAAAGTACCAATAAACTCAACGAAAAAAATCCTCCAGAAATATATATCTTTTTTTTTTTTTTTGGTACTGGGGAATGAACTCAGGAACTTGTGAGGCAGGCGCGGTATCACTGAGCTCAATCCCCAGCCCTTCATTCATTCTTTCAATGTCTGCTGAATGCCACTTTGTGCTGGCATTTGCTAGGGCAGGATGGGAAGGACAGCTTGTGGTGAGGTAGACACCTCCGGTGTCCACACTCACTGCAAAGGGCGGAGACAAGCAATCAGTGACAGACCATGAAAGGTGCTGGGAAGGAACTAAGCAGAATGTGTTGTGACAGAGAAATGTGGCAATGTGGTGAGAGGAGTCTTATTTTGAGCAAATGATTATTATTATTATTTTTTTGTATCGGGGATCAAACTTGGGACCCTGCGCTTGCAAGGCAGGCAGCAGAACCACTGAGCCAAATCCCTGGCCCAGGAGTCTTATTTTGTATACATAAATATATAATAACATATGTGTGTATTTCTGTGCTTTGTACTACTATATTTTGTTGTTCAGCTTGTCTATTACTATGCCAACACAAACCATTTTACTTATATAGTTTTATAGCTAATTATTAACCTTATAATATGTAGCTATATATGTAGCATTATATAATTATATAGCTTTGTAATAAATCTTGTTAATTGTAGGACAAATCTTCTCCTTGTCTGTCTTTGCTGAAGTAGCTTAGATATTTTTAACTCTTAGGTTTCTCATAATGTTTTAGAACCAAGTTGTCACATTCTATAAAAACCCTAATAGGATTTTTTTTGAGGTACTAGGGGGTGAACCTCTGCACTGAGCTAAACTACCAGCTCTTTTTCTTTTTCACTTGAGCTAGGGTCTCAATAAGTGGCTGAGGTTGGCCTGGAACTCACCATAGGCCCGCCTTGGCCTCTGAGTAGTTGGGGTTTCAGATGTGTACCACCGTGCCAAGCTAAAAAATGCATTCTAATTCTTTGTTCCTGATATATAAAAATGCAATTAACTTTTGTATATTGACCTTATAAATACCCACTTTGCTAAACTATTATTTCCAACCATTTGATTTTAGGCATGTAGCTAGCCTCCAAGTTGACTTCAGTGGTCATTCCCTTTTCGTAGACACATTTTTGTGTAGTTTTCTCTCATATCTACCACAATTGATCCATGGACCGGTACAATATGACAGGAGTGATGTTGTGTTGCTTCTGAAATTACTCCGAGTGAAGTGTGACCAGCTCCATGCAGAACCCATACAGAAAGTCAGAAGCTATATGAGTTTGGAAGCAGATTCTCCAGCCCTCAGTCAAGTGCATGCCTGGTATCTTCACTGTAACCTCATGAGGAAATACAGTCAGCTATGCCACTCTCAGATTTCTGACCTTTAAAAACTGTGTGATAATAAATGAAGGTTTTGGGCATCTAAGTTGGGTTGTTTTCTTATACAGCAATAGATAACAAATGCTAGTTTTTATATTGGAAAAAAATGATGCTTTTGTTAGAAAAATCTAAGATGTGGGAGTGGCTTTGGAATGGAGCACTGAATAGAACCTAGAAAAGCAATAAAAATTTTGAACAGAGTGTTAGTAAGAGTCTAAAGTGGC